TATTTTTATTCAAGGTAATATATACATGTTAATAATTTACAATTTAAGCAGAAAGGAATTGGACCGAGAGCTACAATAGCTCATGGTAGTCCTCTCCTTTAACAAAAGCAATATGTTCATATAATACATGGCTTATTATAATTTTAATTAAACCCTATAAAGAAAGAAAATGAAGAAAAAATAAAAAAAATACAAATACATGTATGCAATTGATAGAAAATAATAAAGAGAAAGATGGAGAAAAGAGGAGTTTGCGGATGTTTCTAAATCATTTGTCGTTTTGGTACGAACATCATGTATGGAAAACAACTTGTGTGAACACTATGTTATATGACAACTAGTATATTACATGTTAGAATCTTTTAGTATCTCTTATAAATTTATGAACAGCGGCGAAGATAGCAGTGTTGGAGTCCGCAGGTAAAGCAGGGTCTCCATAAAGAATAACATGCAAAGTTGGAGTGCAAAAGTTGGAAAGAGCGTTTAGTAGATTGGGACGTAGATGTACATATTTTGGACAAATAAAGAAAAAATGATAGGAATTTTCAACCACCCCACAATCACACAATGGAGACTCGGCAATATTCTTATCAAATAAATCAGATGCAAGAGAGCTACAATTGGTTCTAAGTCTGGTATGCATTATTTGGTCTCTTCGCTCACCATAGTAAAAGAAGTTCGGTATATTTGATACTTCACTTTTAAGACTGCGCTTAAAAGCGGCAAGCGTAGTCTCTTATTACAGATGGTAGAAAGGATTTATAGTAAAAATCTGTGCGTGATCGGATGGTCTGTATATCTTGGGCATTCCTTAAGGGATATCGATGTTCGGAGCCAACAGAAGAAAGGACAAGATCAGAGAGATAGTCTGGAATGAGATTATTTTTCATTTTGTAAAATAAGATAAGTTTATGATTGTATCTCTTTTTTTTCTAAAGTTTCCCAGCCAATTTCAGACATAAGTAGTCAATAGAGACGAGTTTGGTTGTTCCTGTCACTATCCTTGCAGCTTCATGTTGAATTTGTTCTAGTTCCGTTTTTTTCTAATTTGGTACAGTTATCAAATAAGACATCAGCGTATTCAAGGATAGGTCTAATAAATGAAAGGTAAATGGTCTCAAGAGACTTCCGGTCAAGTGTAAATTTAAGTTTTTTCATTATATTTATTCTTTTCCGGGCTTTAGTTTTAGTGTAATCAAGATGTGCCGACAAGCGAAGATCATTTGAAAGAATTATACCTAGGTGTTTATGATTATTTATTTTATTTATTGGTTGACCCTGCATAATAATGGACGGATGAATTACTTGTCTTGTTTTACGGGATATTAACATTGATTCAGATTTTGAAGGATTAAATTTGACTAACCATTTTTTTGACCATCTGTCTATTGTTTGCAAGTCTGTATTTAGAATATTGGAAGCTGATAGCGGATCTTCAACAATAATGAATAGACTAGTATCATCAGCGAAAAGTCTGATGTTTGCTTTGATATCAAGAACAATGTCATTTATATATATTAGAAAAAGAAGTGGCCCAAGTATAGATCCTTGAGGGACACCAGCCTTTATATAATTATCAGAAGATGTACAACCTTTAAGAACAACTCTTTGTTTTATGTTATCAAGATAGGAAGTAAACCAGAGTAAAAGACGACCGGAAATTCCAATGTTATTAAGTTTATAGATAAGGCCCTTATGCCATACACGATCAAACGCTTTCCTGATGTCACAGAAAACTGTTCTTACCTCGTTTCCAAAATCAATGGCTTGAGCAAATAAATTGTATATGTAAGTCAATTGATTTATTGTAGAGTCACCAGGAACAAAACCTGATTGTAATGGGGTAAGAATATTATTAGAATGAAGGAAATTGTATGTATGTTTAAATATGATTCTTTCAAAAACTTTATTGATAGTGCTAATAAGAGGGACGGTAGTTATTTACTAGAGATGGATCACCGGATTTGAAAAGTGGAGAGACGTTTGCTTCTTTCCAAGCATCAGGAACTTGACACATTTGGAGAGAGTAGTTGAAAAGAGAGTAAAGAGGGCCGCTGAGTTCAGTTGAGAGTTCTCGTATATAAAAATATAAATTTTGAGTTACAAAGTAAGGATAATTTTAATATTTAAAATCAAGCAGAACAAATGTAGAAATTTTAACTGAAACATGAAAAAACTGAAATTAACACCATTGCTGCGATTTAAATGATGACATACTGTTTTCAAAATGGCCGACATATGCATTAGAATTGACTTTGACTGAATATATTCTTGTTTCCTTGCGCCATACTGCAGAAAATACCTTTATGTTATAGATTATGACAATTTTGTACCATAAGTTTCATTTGTTGTTTTCTTTCCAATTTCAAAGCGTTAAATACCGTGAACTAAGAGAGGCACAGTACATATATTGAATATAGTATCATAATGAAAGTTTGTTTTAAACTGTTTTGAAAGATAATATGCCAGAGAAATTGGCTTTTTCTTGGCGCATAAGGGATAGTTTTTCTACAAAGGGAACTAGATTTAAAATAAATTAAATATATTAAAAGTATTATCAAAAAGTTTCTTGTAAAATTCAATAAGCAAATTTTCGGTTTATGTTTTGGTAAGTATATGGAAACATTTCCTCTACATTTTCCAAAACGAGCATAAAGTATGTTAATCAAACAATTTTAAGACCAGGATTTACATAAAAAAAATGTTTATAGCATTTGATTAGAATAAACAGTATATAAAGCTGCATGCCTCCAACCACAATATTTGACGAAAATCAAACTTTAGTAAAATTTGTGCCATTTGCGCCAAAAGATCACTGTTGCGTTATTTAGTCATACCGGTTCAAAAGATTTAGGAGCAGTAAACTTTCGGTCCACAGTTTACTCGGTCATATATTAGAGCATGGTGTTATTGTTGCTATAATGTTCACTGTCACTATTTATCGGAACATGAACTATTAAAACGCCATTCAGAAAACAATACCGTAACGGTAATCGACTTTTACGGTTTAAAACATTAAAACGGAACGAAACATCGACGTAGCGCTAAGTAACGTAAATGACATTTTCCGAGTTTTCTATGTACCAATTTGTTCACTTCGATGTTAATTTTTCGTTCAAGTTAAGTCGTATTTGGAAACGAAGCATGCGCAAAACCATTTTTGTAGACCGCTCCTAATGATTTTACGCTTTAAATGAGATTCATTCACTACAATCAGATACGCAAAAATGGATGCCGCCAGCAATCAGTCTGAACATTGTGGACAGGTCTGATGACCTCTCCAATAAGAGAAAATTAGAATCCCTAAAGCATAGCCCAAAATGACAAGTTTGGAAATAATGCAAGCCTTATAACCCTTAAACCGTCCGAACCAAAATGATTAGACTTTACCACCTGTGCAATCTGACCAGGTTATATTTTTAAATTACTGTTGTCTGACTAACCTTCAATTTTCGTCTATACATCTTCAACTGATAATGGGCAGTTCTTAAAAAGAAAGAAATGAAAACAATGATCAAAAAAGCAAAGGTTAAATAACGCAACCCCCTGACATAATCCAGCCATACCAGCAGGTCACACAGAAGACAATGAAATGGTACAGGACACAAGAGTGATTTTAGGAGAAACCATTTAAGTAATTCAACATGTCAATGGATAAACAATAAAGATTTTATGAGCTACCAATATCATAGACCCGCCATATCAGACAACTTGTATGTACATACTTGTCAAACCTTATAAATAGATGGCAACTTTCAACAAAAAGAGCCATGTTGGCTTACATTGTTCTAACAGGATCCATTGCTAATGGTATAAAATACATAAGTATGTCTATGACTCAATTGGAGTCAAACGTTTTTACCATAGGACCATGATTAATGTAACTGATGTAAATATTCAGGAAACTTGATGTTAATCATATCTACTAAAATGCGTTTTACTAAAGATCTGGATAAAATCAATGTACATCAATAAGTCGATAAGGATGGGAAATGTTTTTCCCGAGAAGATGTAATTTTAATTAATTTGATTTAGTTTAATTTTACAATAATAGGTGTGTGTTTTTACTGAACTGCTACGCTTTCCCGTTCTGTGGGTAATGTCAATATCATTGATATTATGTCGACACCAATACTTTTACATATATCCAGGACAATCTGAGCTGTTTTCTCATCGGTTGTTTCTGGACATCCGGAAAATCGGACATTATTTCTTCTGCTGTACGTTCGGCTGAATCAGCAGATAACTCAAGTTACTTAACAGCTTTTTTACAATTATCGTTTTCACTTTTGAGACAACTATTTTCGTTTTTTAATGACATTATTCTAGTTTCCAGACCGTTAAGAACACCATCTAAGATTAATGAAAAAGACGATTTGACTGCCTCTTGTACAATCCCGTGAATTTCAGCTTTAAAAGAGGATTAAACAATATCAAATATTTTACCCAATCAGTTACAGATTTGACTCAAATTTGGCTAACTTTTTTCTACAAATTTATCTCACTTTTTTTACCTCGAAATCTGTTTTTTACAAAGATAATGCGATAAAAGAAGATAATGCTCTTAACAAGGCAATTAATTGTAATTATTATTTGGTACATTTATGAAACATCATAAAAGATATGACGAGTTCAATATTTGCCTTAGCCTTTCTTTTCGAAAAGTCAAAGTGGCGGCTGGGGATATTACTCACCTTTTGTGTAATTAAAGCCAATTCATAGCGCACACCACACATGATAAAGCTGTATACGTTAGAAAAGATGGATCTATTAAAACAATAATTTGCAAAATGCATATGAAAGTCATTTTTGTATAAACAGAAGTTCATGTTAGTTATGATATTGCCGTGTTAATTCAGTATTTAGTTTATTTGACTATATGTTGGCCTTTTTATCACGCGTTCCTTTTATAGCTACATGTGTGCAATTATATGAATACACTGCTTTATGCCTATAACATGTATGCACTATTTTAAATAAAACGTGACGTCACGTCTTAAGATAAGAAATATTACAGTATTTGCAATTAGAACTTTGATATGTCTCCTTTACAGTACTTTTGTTTAATCTTGAATTTTGCTTCATTGGTGGCAGACTTTATTAACCTTTCATCGGTCAACACAAAACTAACTCCGGATGATTTTAACGTTCGGGAACTTCTTAAACGCGTTGATGACCTTGAGGATTTCAGTAAACAACAAATGCAAATGCTTAACGAATTTCAGCGATATCACAAAAAACAAATAGGTCTCCTCAATGAACAACTGCTGAATCAAAAGGATGAGATAGCTGCCTTGCGCAAGAAAAGAAATCATCAAGATCGTTTTATCCTACAACTGATTCGACGTGTAAAACATATGGAAATGTCACAGAAAAGTGTCCTTGATAAAACAAAACAGATGACTGAAGAAACACCAGGTATGATATTCGATTTAATTATTTGAAGAGACATGACACCTTTTGTCATGCTTTTGGGTGTATGAATAGACTTTGACTTTTGTTATCCTAATTATACAAATGTTATCTAAATAATAAACATAGTATTATACCTGCTGGTTCAGTTAATTATGATCAACATTTTTATCATTATGAGCAGAATTAAAAAATAGAGAGGAAAGGACTTCCTAAAGAAAGTCCAAAATGGCAAAATTGATAATGTTGCAGGCTCGGTTTCATTGAGCCTAGACATAGACTGTACAGGAATGTGCAAGTTACCCTCCACTCCCGCTAGCACAACCCTATAGAACGCACAAATCGGCAATTTTGAAAATGTAAATGTTTAATCTCCAATTGACCGAAAGACTGCGAACTCAACTTAAGAAATACGGTTTTTGTTTCAATATGATAAGAAATCTACATTTATTTATGTTTTCAGTCAACAGAATTCAGCAGACGAAGGATAATGAATTAACTGTTGCGTTTACCGCTGGTCTTAGTAAGAGTGTGGACAATTTAGGAGCTCACCAGAACATACCATTTGACCACGTAGAAACAAATATTGGAAATGGCTATAATCCTCATGAAGGCGTTTTTACTGCACCGGTATCAGGTCTCTATGTTTTTCACACTTCAATCTTTGTTGATCGAAATCAGGAAGTGTTTGGTGAATTGGTAGTAAATGGACTGATCAAGGCATCTGCTTATGCACGTAGTACGGATGGTAGGTATGATCAAGGAAGTCAAACATTAGTCATTCAGATTCAACAAGGGGATGTTGTGGCTGTCCAAAATCTTATAGTCAAAAGCGAGTTATTTGGTGATCCTTATATTTATTCAACTTTCAGCGGATTTCTTCTTCAGCAAGGACTAGGCACTAGTGTCATTACTGTCTAAATAAAATATGATGTAGATTTAAATGGGAATTAAAAATAAAACAAAAATGTAATATTTGTCATCTTACACGGGGTGTAGCTGTTTGAATAAATATAAAACAAGCGTATTCATTTAATCGATTAAAATGTTTAAAGACCAAATCATCACCTCGGAACAGTAGCGGGTTAACTCTATTATCTTTTTTAGTAAGACCGTTACTGTACTAAGATGGCGTTATGTCCCAGAAATACTTTTTATGTTTATTTCTCAAAAGCTTGTTAGTTTTGGTGTTCTTTATAGTTTTATTGGCTAAATAACATATGTATTAGTACAGATATAGTATTTTGTATGGAATTCAAACTGCTATTTTTTATATTCCACATGTATGGGTAGTTATTTCACAATCAGCCTACTTTAAAAAGGCAGAAAGTACCTAACAGTCTCTAATCCATTGTTTTGATCGTTAAAAACACTGTTATCCAACAAATTTCTGTTATATTTGCGTGCAAATATAGATTTGCTAAGTATTACTTTTTACAATTTAATACAGAGATTTTGCGAGCTTCTGTAACTTGATTTCTTACCTTATTTGCTTCAAATTTTAGTAATATATAGTGGAAGTTTTGATATCTAGATATTAGTATATCAAATACAATATTCAATATTTCATGTTATTTAGCATTAAATGTTATTCAAATAGACATAAAATAAATTTTGGTAAGCAAACAGGTATTTTTTGTTTTATTTAAATATATGCCCATATAACAAAGTATTGCAAGCAATACAATATGATAAACAAGATCAACAAGGAACGACGGCGTTCAATGAACGCAACTCCCACACGACCCAGCAAACCAAACTTCCCTACCGGTTAGATCCCGGGCGACATTCTGAAGAGCCATAGCATTTTAGTTATACAATTGTGGAGAAATGAATGACCTCTGTTTATTTCATTTTTGTGTCGCCTCTACGGAGTAGTGGCGACATATAGGGATCACTTCTCCGTCGTCTGTCTGTCCGTCTGTCTGTCTGTCTGTCCGTCCGTCCGTCACAAAACTTGTCCGGACTACTGCTCATAAACTACTGGTGCAATTTCATCCAAACTTTACAGGAATTATCAGTACCAAGTCTAGTTGTGCATATTGTCAGCATTTTCCGGTTCAATGATTTTTGTCAGAGTTATGGCCCTTTAATTAAATTTAATTTTAAAGTTTGTCCGGACTACTTCTCTTATACCACTAATGCAATTTCAATGAAACTTTACAGGATTGATCTGTAGCTCAAGTCCTTGTGCATATTGCATGGGTTTTCCGGTTGAATGATTTTTGGCCGAGTTATGGCCCTTTGACAAAAAGGTGTTTTTTTCTGTGTGTTGCCAGATACACAAAAGCTTGTCGGGACTACTGCTCATAAACTACTGGTGCAATTTCATCCAAACTTTACAGGAATGATCAGTACCAGGTCTAGTTGTGCATATTGTCAGCATTTTCCGGTTCAATGATTTTTGTCAGAGTTATGGCCCTTTAATAATTTTTAATTTTAAAGTTTGTCCGGACTACTTCTCTTATACCACTAATGCAATTTCAATGTAACTTTACAGGATTGATCTGTAGCTCAAGTCCTTGCGCATATTGCACGGGTTTTCCGGTTGAATGATTTTTGGCCGAGTTATGGCCCTTTGATAAAAAGGTGTTTTTTTCTTTGTGTTGCCAGATACGCAAAAGCTTGTCCGGACTACTCCTCATAAACTACAGGTGCAATTTTATCCAAACTTTACAGGAATTATCAGTACCAAGTTTAGTTGTGCACTGTCCGTCTGTCTGTCCGTCTGTCACAAAATTTGTCCCAACATGAAATTGGCCATCATGAGGCGACACATGTGAATACTGATCGCTCTTGTGTACACTGCAGCAATAATTAACATTTCAATATTTATGTATACAGTGATAAAAGAGAGTAACAGAGAAGTTAAACGTAGCAATACTATACACAATGTAATATAAAAGGCACCTCACTCTTTTTCATATTGCTGTTAAAAAGGGAAGTGTGTCTCTTCAAAAACGTTAAAACTACTTAAAGATTAATTAAGATATTAGGATATTAAGTGTTTACAAAGTTATCCAAGATGCTCGGCACTTTCATTAATAAACTCCCTTAGCAGCTTAGTGAATACACTAACGTTACGTAAGAAAGAAAACGATAGTGAAACATTCGGCCGATGCGCAGGAGAGTATTTCATTAATATCGAACAACAATCTTTCCATACGCCTGTACGCGTTGGAAGGTCTCAAACTGAAACATCTTTGAGGCATTTATTGATTCTGTTTTTAAAACATTTTTTTGTTTTATTTTTACACGCGTCTATGTTTGGCAGACTAGAACAACTTTGCATGTACAAAGTATAAATATTATGTGTAAGTAAACATAAGATATAATTAACTGGGACTGGGTGTTGAGGGCGGCCGAAAAGGACATTTTTGTTTACATAACGTAAGAGTTGGAATTCAGAATATTAACCAAATATGCACGCTCCTTATAAATGATTGAACTATGTCACATTCCCAAATTCCCAAAATAAATGTCATATAGTCGACATTGCAAAAAGAACACTTCTCATCGTTCTTAAATTAATCTTTAATAATGAGATGGTTCCCATAGTCTGGTGCAATAATCTATACTGAAGCCTGCTTTGTTAATGTTAAATGGTAAGCAGTACATTCCGTTCCAGTTCATGTAATTATTTATTTATTCATTTTGAGATTTTATTTCAGATTTTGTTTATTTATATTATATTAACTTAAAATATTTTTCCACACGCGTTGGAATGTCTCAAAAGGCAATTTTGACCTCCATATTTGACCTTGTCTCTTGCCATAGGGTCACGTTTTTATTAATATTGCTGTTACTGAAATGACAATTGTGTCTTGAATAGATACTTTCTCCTATTTACATTCCCGAAAAGTTAACTAAATGTGCTGTCTAATTAGTGAGAAATGCATTACATAAGGAACATTGTGTTTTATGATCGTCCTCGTGTTGTACGTGATTGATTAAAACAAGACTGTGTTTAATTATTCATTTGCGTTAACATTGCGTCTCTGTTGTTAGAATTTACTTAGATTTTCTACACCCGCGAGTTACCATGTGTGATGTTCTGCATAGCTTGTAGTACATTTAGTTGTTCCAACACTCCTTTGTAAAATTAAGACTATTTATTCCCAAGTGTTTCAAGTGAGAACTTTGTATCAGAAGTAAACATCTAAATGTCTTAGTCACCATTATTTTAATATTGCAGTTCAAAACATACATACAATATATCTGTATAACAATAATAGAACTTGATAATTAGATTTATATATATAACGAATTCATCGAAAGTTTGTCCATTACAGCATTATGAATTTGAAAGCAGAATAATGTTAATAGAAAGTTTTCATTCTTCTCACGCAAAACACTGTTACAATTGATCAAATTCCAAAATATATATATATAAAAGATTCATACAAGTGAAGACACTTTCATCGATTATGGGAGCTTTTCATTTTAAGACATGGTTTGATTTTTATAAAGATGTTTGGTTACAACGTAAAATGACTATGTTGTATTCGGTTCCCTCATTCAAAAATCCTTTAAAATGTTTAGCTGTTATTTTATCAATTTAAAGCTGAGCGTGATAAATGGTTTCCTTGTAGGAAGTTCAGACATACATGATATGTAAAAGTGCTTATTATCTTCTCATTAAATTTATTTCAAATGTGAAGGTATTGATTTATCCTGAGCCGATACAAATAATGCTCTTGTCGAAATCTCTTTCACACAATTTGGACATTCATTTTCAAATATTTACATTTTATTGTTTTATGTATATAGTTTATGATAATAATCAACAGTCAAACATAGCATAAAAGGAAACAAACATAAATAGTGCTTGGCTAGAGTGGTCTAAATTTTAGACATTGAGAAAAATATGTGAACATTTGTTTCTCTGGTTATTTTCTTATGCTTATTAACATGGTATAAAACCTTTTTTATTCCACCGGGCGCATTGTAATTGAACCGTCGGCCCATAGGAGGTTAACCTAAAAATCAGGTTAGACTTTTCTTAAGTTCCACCTGTGCCAATGGCTTCATAGTTTACACACTAACCCATGATCTGGACAAGTAACATAACTATTGCTTCCATTTTTTCTAAGTCATTGCCCTATTCAGCACTTTGAATATAAATATGGTTTAAACTAAACCGGCATGTTGGATATACCTTAAGTTCTATCTAGACTAATGGATTCATAATTTTCACACTAACTTATCAATACAAAGTACATGATATTGCCAGTTTTATAACTGTGCCATCCATCTTTATGCCTCCAAAGGGAGGCATATTGCATATTAAAATTGCACCGTTCGTCTGTCCGCCTGTGCGTCCCCACTTCATCGTGTCCGGACTGTAACTTTGTCATACATTGAGGGATTTTAAAATAACTTGGCACAAATGTCTAGCACATCAAGACGATGTGTCGCGTCCAAGAACCACGTCCCTTCCTCAAAGGTCAAGGTCACACTGTCATTATGAAGTTTTACGTTATTGCAATTAGAGTAAATAGGTACACACATTCGTTTCCGGACTGTTACTTTGTCATGCATTAAATGATTTTAAAATAATTAGGCATAAATGTCTACCGAACCAAGACAATGTGTCGCGTCTTAGAATTACGTCCCTACCTCAAAGGTCAAGGTCACACTAACATTTTGAAGTTTCACATTATCACAATAGTACACACAATCGTGTCCGGGCTGTAACTATGTCATGCATCGAAGCATTTAGAATTACTTGGCATAAAACGATGATGGCCAATATCCCGACACTAAAACACATAAAAAAATCATTGCCCTGCTAGTTGAACACTAAGGAGATGTCATCAGTCATCAATTTATCTTGGACATCGTTAACTTACTAAGCAATGCTTGTTTCATATTTATTTATTATTATTTTTTATTTATTTATTAATAAGTTGTATACTCGGCCTTACTTTTGTCATAGTCTATTTAAAAAAGCACAATGTTTGTTCACTTTCAAAAAAGGAAAAATGGGTAAAGACGTGCGTCAGCTTTGAAAGGATTTTTGTTCATTTTCGGAACCCATATCTCATTCAAAGAATGTTAGTAAAATCAGTATGAATGCATGTCTGCCGATACCAACACGTCTATTTTAAATCATTTTAAAATTCTTTAGCTGAATTATTCCTGAAGTAAACGTCTGTGATTCAACGTGTAATCCTTCCCCCGTTTAAACAATCAACTTTATTACAATATATTAGGAGGATTCTTGCCAAATGTTTTTACTATGTCGCCATGAATATCCGTGGTTGTCGTTCATAAATATTATTGGTGAACATATGTGTACATATGTTTCCAATTTACTTATTGTCACTTATATATTTACGGATTATACATAGAGGATATTGAATGAGCATATTATGCGAGTCTCTGGCGAGAATTATATTCTTTTATTCATCGTGTTCAAAAAATAGTTATAATCTACACATATAAAATATTTAATTGATCACATCATCCAAAATAGGAACGGTTTTCCTTTTGCGCCCCTATAGTGTAATGCTGCCACTAGTACGCGTGTCAATCTCTACGCAGTGATCTCCCCTTTATTAATCTGACAGGCGATCTACTTCATCTACAGACATTTGATATAAGTAGTGTCCTTGT